AAATTCAAGAATTATCTCTCTAGAAAACGCTTGCTTCACTATAATCAAAGCGTGTTATAGCATATTCAGAAATAGCCGTCCTTTCAAAACTTCTAATCCGACTACTTTCTACCTTTTTATCAATTAATTGGTCGTGCTGACCATGATTCATAACATATAATCAGTGCCAAAACTAAACATTTCTATTTTCATCATATTGTTACGGGTGGTGATTAAAAACAATAAATAAACATAAAGAAATAAACGTTTAATGTGGCGAACTTGTGCCAAAAATAACACAGCGTCGCGGGCGTCGAAGTCGGCGTAGCAGGAGAGTCGAACCCTGGGGCGAAATTGATTCGACAAGGTCGCGGGCGGCCTCTTATCTAGAGGGAGTCACTATCTCCAAGATTCGGCGGAGAAGGTTCGAGCGTAGCGCGTTCGGGGCGAAAATGAACACGCACTTTCTAGAACAACAAAAGCAGGGATAAGCGATGGAAGATATGTCCGCAGCAAGAATAAACAAGAACCTTCTACAAGTCCGTGACCCTGCGCGCGGCAATATTCTTGATACGTCATTCATGGCGGAATGTGCAGCCTCATTTAAAACATGACGCTGTACTGCCCACAAAAAACACTAATAAACCGTATTAAAAAAAATTACACTATTTCCTAAACCTAATAATCACTCTGGATTACACTCATATGCAAGAGTAGAGTGGGTTAGCGGTAGAACCATCAGTGGTTCCTCCTTAAATGCATACATGTGCCAATCCTTTTACTTTCTCCCAAACGCAAAACTGAACCGATTAAAGAAATTAATTGGAACTAGGCAATAACTTATTAATCGGAATGTTAACTAATCAGTTGTCCAGCCCTACCCTTACAAAAAATTTATATCTGGCCAGATCTGAAGATTTCAGATATGGCCAGATCAAAAATTGGCCACATATAACCCCATATGGTATATCTGCCAGATATAGCCTGATACCCCTGGCCAGGTGTGGAAATCCCAGATCTGGCTAAGTAAGGAAATTCCATATCCGGCCAGGCAGTTCAAAAGGACACAAGCCTGAAATCAGCACTTTATATATTTTTATTGTCTACAATTCTCCCAAATGCCCCGGCCCGCACTCGAGGAGTTATGGAAACGGTGATCCTTCAGCTTGGAAAGAGAAATTTATTTACTAGTTGGGACAACGGTACATGAAATTCGACCCCCCGGGAGCGATACAAAAATGCACAGTTCTTATCTGGACATGGGAGGCAAGAAAGGATCACAGACACATAGAAAATAAATAACAAGTAGACTAGAACGGCTCCAGCCGCTACACTACGGAGGGTGCGTGAAAACCTAATTAATCAAGGCACCACCGAACTTGTAGCACCACTCTGCGGCCTGCAACGCCAATGAAGTCCGCATGCCACCTCCGGAGAAACTCCTCCTCGCCATGGGCAAAAAGTGCGCCCTCGAGGTGGGAGAGGAGCAGTGTCCGGAGCCGTCGCAGCAACGGGAACATCAGACCGAGACGGCGTTCGCGGCCCACAGCAATGTTCTTCTGTTGCCCCAAGACGTAGCAGGTGGCGCCAAACACCAGACCCGCACTCCGGTGACTAGCGTAGAAATGTCTGCTCAGTGGCAGCGTAAAAATGCGACTCACTAAAGTCCAAAACGTTTTAGCTACAACGCACTCAAACACCGCGTGGATGTTGGTTTCAACCCCTACTGAAAAAAGTTATATGAATTTTTTTTCTGATATGTTTATTGGACACCTTTTTCATATCAGAACTTATTATTTCATATCAGTTTCATATGTCGCATATCAGTCACACTAGGTGGCAAGCTGGCGCTAGGTACCGCCCAATTCATGTGCTGCAAAATATATTTATTTACTCACGCCACCATGTAGATGCATTAAGCACATCACTAGCATCAGTTGAACAAATACATGAGTGCATACACATACACGGCACAACATACATGAATACAACAGCACACCCTATAACTACTACGGAGCTCTGCGTTTCCGCCTTTTATACAGGCGTTTTGTAAGTACGGAGTTTTTCGGTGACCACCTACGCAATAAATAATATTTTCAGCGTGTTAGATTTTTTTCAGTAACGTCGTACCTCTGAGAGTACGTAGAACGGCTCAGGGGACGAATCTCTTTATAAAAAGTAAACGCTCATGCCGTAATTATTTGAATGCCGGCATATCAAGCCGCTCCAGTGCGGTTCCAAGCCACGTGTTTGCTTTCCCGCGCGGCACGTCGTATATTGAAAAAAAATTATACGAATTTATTTCTTATATGTTTATTGGACACATTCATATCAATTGGCATATGTTGCATATGGGTTCTTATATGTCGCATATCAGTTTTTGGGTATTTCATATCAGTTCTTATATCGCATATCAGTTTTTGGATGTTTCATATCAGTTGGCATATGTTGCATATCAGTTCTTATATGCCGCATATCAGTTTTTGGGTATTTCATATCAGTTCTTATATCGCATATCAGTTTTTGGATATTTCATATAAGTTCTTATATAGATTCATATACTTTTTTTCAGTAGGGACCTGCCTACAGTTGACACACAAATTGGGGTTAGCAACACCCCATCGCGCTAGACGGTCACGGGTAGGTAGAACGCCCCACCCAAGCCGCCAATGAAAGTCGGCAAGGCCGGGAGGGATGTCTGGGGAGAAAGCGCTGGTCCAGTTTGCAGTTCGACTTTGAATCCGGAGTAGAAGAGGCACCTCCGGCTTGCAGAGGGCCTCACAAAGACGTGAGACAGGTAGCTCACGGACGCAACAGTCAGGCGTGGCCGTTTGTAACTGCTGGTAGACCTGAACTACCGTCGCGTAGAAAGACAGAGGGGACTCCGCTGTCGGGCACGAGTTCCCTAGCCCCCGAGGCACCAGGACGCGACGATGGGTGCTGAGCCAGTACAGCGTCAGGCTCCGGCCGGGATAGTCAGGGGCGTCTAGGATGTCCAAGACGTTCCGAAGGGCAAGTAAGCGACTGAAGGTGACAAGGCAGGGGATACTCAGGCCCCCATTAGAGCGCAACATTCGAAGGGTTGGGCGAGCAACCAGCTCAGGGCGCCTCTCCCAGAGGAAGGCAAAAATCACGGAGGTTATGCGCCGGACGACAGACGGAGGGGGGGAGAGCGACCCGTGAGGCGTACCACAGCCGGGCGCACAGCACCGACTTCACGATATAGGCTCTATCGCGCTGGGGCAGGGAGAAACGCGAAGCCACTGCGGCCTTGTGCACGATGTCTGTCGCAATGCTGTTCCATGTTTCTGCCGACACACCAGAACAGTCAAAGAGAACACCTAGGACCCTGACAACCCTTGTAACCATGATGCCACCCGGAAGTGGGTCGGCAAAACCTCCAAAGAGAACGGCTTTACTTTTGGACGTGTTGAGCCGGGCCCCTGAAAGGACGGCGTACTCTTCATACAGCCGTAGGGCTGATATAAAACTCCCGGAGTCCCGCACGAAAAGAGAGACGTCGTCCGCATATGCGGATACTTTGATGGATCCCGAGCCAGGAAGAGGGAAGCCAAGTACCGACGGTTGGTCATGGATTCGTCGGAGAAGCGGGTCCAGGCAAAGGACGAAAAGTATGGGTGACAAGGGACAGCCCTGGCGTACCCCTCGCTCTACGGCAAAGCACGGGGTAATCTGGCCATTGACAACGACGTCACTGACCAGATTTACATACAAAACCTCAAAGAGGCGCACGAAGTCTGGAAAGAATCCATACGTTCGAAGGACCGAAAACAAAAAGCGGTGGTCCAGACGATCGAATGTTTTCTCCTGGTCTAAGGAGATGAAAGCGCCGGAAAGGCCACGGGACTTTGTGAAGTGGAACATGTCACGCGTTAGCGTGAGGGACGAGAATATGCTCCGTCCGGGAACAGAACAGGTCTGAAAAGGGCTTACAAGTTCCGGTAACACGTCGCGAAGGCGGTGAGCAAGAATGGTGGCCAGCAGTTTGTAGTCTGCGTTGAGGAGAGTGACGGGCCGGCAGGCCTGCGGCGTGGAGGGGTCGCCAGTCTCCTTCGGTACGAGGACGATGCGGCCACGCCGAAAGGAGTCGGGAACGTTGCCGCCTCGAAGGAAAGCATTGAAAACGCCGACTAGTGCCGTGCCAACCTGGGGCCAAAACTCTTTGTAAAACTCTGCAGGCAGGCCGTCGACACCTGGCGCAGAACCCATTTTCATGCCTCTGAGAGCCTCGTAAGCCTCGAATGCGCTGACAGGGCGGTGAAGAGTATCACGCAGGTCGGGCGGGACTTGAGGTAAGGAACCACAAAACTGTTGGACGAGGACATCGGATGTGTTCCGGGGGGAGTAATCGTCCATCCGGAACAAGGCTGCAAAATGCTCGAAGAAAACGTTAACGATATCAGGCGGATGGGACGACTGGAAGCCATCTGGTGTGGCGACAAACGGAACCCAGCCCGGCCTATCCTCGCGGCTCCGAGATACGCGAAGGTAGCGGAGGACCTCAGGGTCTGACACGGGACGGCTGTCCCAGTGCTGCAATGCCGCTGTTCCTGAACTTTCCCGCAGAAGGCGAGAGTACCTCGCCCGCAACAGGTTCAAGTACTCAGACATGAGGGGCGTGAAGGTACCACCGCGCTTAATAATCCGGATGCGTCGCAGGACCTCATTGAGCTTGTGAGAGAGTTGACGCTTACTCCACTTGCCCTCGCGGACGCACAGAGAACGCCAGAGCAGCTTCAAGCTGTCCCAACGCGCAGGATCTGGGCCCATGGCACGTTGTGCCTCAGTGAGTGCTTGGCGGAGTGATTGTACCGCTTCCCTATCCCGAAGAAGCCGCACGTCAAAACGCCAAAAAATGCAGCGAGGCTGTTCGCCCCCAGGAACGGACAAGGAAATCATGACAGGACGATGATCCGAGATGTACCCCGATGCAGAGGGAAACGAAAGGGTCTCACATCGAGTGAGACATGTAGCAAGCCAGGTTGGGAGATACACCCGGTCTAAACGACTGCTTGAGCCCGCACGAGACCACGTGGGCGCAAAAGAGGAGCCGTGTAACTCGCACCAAGCGTCTCGTAAGTCGAACTGTTCAACAAGGCGACGGAGTTCACGAGCATTCCAGTTGGCTCTACCCTGACCTGGACCGCGAACATCGCGGTGAGCGTCTAAAACACAGTTCAAATCCCCCAAAAGAAAGAAGGGGTGGGGCTCCAACAAATATGCGTCCAACTCTCGAAAGAAGCCAGTCGATAAAGACATATGTGCGGGCGCATACACATTCACCGCGCGCAAGCGATGCTGACCAAAAAAGAAATCAAATGCAATGACGCGACCAGCGGGATCAAAGATGCTTCGACATCCTTGACTGAGCGCTCGACGCAAGATAAGAACGCCGACGCCGCGACAGCGCGTGTCTCCGAAAGAAAAAAAACAGTCAAGGCCGAAGCGATCACGAAAAGCAGTGATATCGCGTGCAGAAAAAAAATTAGTTTCTTGTAAAAAGACAAGGTCTGCACCAACCGAGCGCGCGAAGTGGACGACCTCACGCTGCTTATCGGGGTTTCTAAAGCCCTGGACATTCAGCGTGAGGACATGCAGGAGCATGGCCATAAAAATAAAATTCATCAAAAAGAACAACCTGAGCGAGCATACCGCACTAGAAGACCAGAGAGTCGGAAAAGTCCTCCAAGTCGGATGGCTTTTCGCTACCCAGGCGTTTCTTCTTTGTCGAGCTTCCGGGGACGTCAGACCCGCTGCTGGTGCTTGTAAGACCGCGCTTCGTTTCAGGACGGTCGCAGCACATGGCGTCGTCGTCGTCAGACCTTGGGTCCAGAGGCGCGTCGCTGTCCGGTAGCGGCACCAACGTGCTGGGGGATGCCGAAGCCGAAGGCAACGTAGGTAACGGGGGAGGGTTCCCTTGGCCCGGGGTGACGTCAACGATCTCAGCTGTGTTGGGGCAGGTGATGAGGAGACTCGGGGTGGCGCCTTCGGCAATGGAGAGGTCTTTTCTGGCGTCACCAGCTTGCAGAAAACGCGGGGCCGACGTTTCCGCGTGTGCAGGAAGCACATCGGTGGTCGAGGGTTCTGCCGCCGGTGAGGAGACTCCGGGGGCAGTGGTCAGGCGGGTAGTTGCGGAAGGCGGCTTAGCCTGCTCAGGGGGGCCGGGAGCTTGGGTCGTAAGCGGCTCGGGGGTGCTGGCCGGTGGCGGAGATCCACGGCGGGGATCCCTAGCAGCTGCCGAGTACGTCTTGCGCTGAACGCAGTCTGTGGTGGCGTGGGCGTGGCCGCAGCGTTGGCAGGGCGCAGCACATCCTTCTGTCGGGTGCCCGAAGACGCCGCACCTGTCACATCGGGGAGTCTTGCAGGCGGGCCCGAAGTGGCCCTCCTGACCACAGCGGCTACAGACCCGGCGCAGGCCGCGATAGTCCACCATGACTCTGTGGCCCTGAATGTGGATGAAGTTGGGCACAGGCTTGGCCATCTCCAGCTTGACCACCCGCGTGCCCGTACGGATGTCAGGTCGGTCACGGTAGGTAACGTGGCTCAAGCCCTTTACCTTGCCGTACTGCCCGAGGACCTGGACGAGGGCGTCCTCAAACACGTACGGCGGGAGTCGGTAAACCGACACATGGACGACGTGGGCCCCGACCGGTTCGAGTGGGACCTGGACGTCACCGAGCAACAGGTGTCCCTGTGCTACCAAACGCTGGGCAGTGGCCATGGAGTTGACCGCTGCCATAAACCTTGCACCCCCATGGTGCTGAAGGTACAAAAGGCCGGCGTCGCCGACCACGTGTTGGAATGCGTCCATGGTGGCGTCCACTGGCGTGTCCACCGGCACGTTGATCACGCTGACGACGTCGAAGCCGCCATGTCGAAGGCCGAAGGCCCGGGGACCGCGATATGATCAGGGTCCCAGGGAACGCTGGAAAACTGGAAGGCACGACGCTAGTGATCGCTAGTTTTGACCAATTCCATTGTTACACAGTTTCGAGTGTATAATTCGTAGTCACCCTGAACAAGCGTCCCAGAGAACTCATGTACCTCTCATATCACTTTTACATTTTCTCGTCAATGGCAGCGTTTATGATACTGTGCATTCTGTCCAACCTTCAAACAAGCTGAGCCGCCGAAATCTCTTACCATATTATCATTCTCGTGATTGTTGTTTCAGCAGGAATCAATTAAAAGTCGAGAAATCACAACAACCGAAACCGGGATTCGCTCGGATTCAGCGGAGCTGTTTATGACATTTTAGCGTTTCTAACTTAATATCAGCGTCTTTGAAGCTGTACGAGAATGATAATAATGTGAGAGATATGTCTGCAGCTCATCCAGGTTGAAGGTTGGACGGAATGCACAGTACTGACACTGGCGGGACATTTTAAAAGTGGTGTGACAGGTATTTGGGTTCCGTACGGCACGGGTTCAAGGTGACTCCGAATTACACTCAAATCTGTGTAATCATAGAATTGCTCAAAATTTTTGATCACTAGGCAGCTGAAGAAACACCGTCCTCATGCTTCAAGGAGTACGGGCCGGGGTGCTTGGGGGATCTAGCAAATCGTCTACTCGGGCGTAATGCTAACATTTTGAAATAATTAAGCTACATTGAAATCCTCGTGAAAACTAGCACAAATAATCTCAAACTTGAGCTTGTCAAAGCTGAAGTTTGGGATTATTTGCGCTAATATTTAGTTCGCGAACAATGAGTCATTAAAAGTTTGCTAACAAAGAATTTTTTTAACTTTTTTAACTTTTTAATATATTGAAAACCGGCCGCCAGATAAGTCTGTAAATACGCCAAATAAGTCTGTATATATTCCAGATAAGTCTGTATATAGAGCATATCAGACTGTATATATGCCTGATATGTCTGTATATACGCCAGATAAGTCTGTATATACGCCGTATCAAGCTGTATCTACGCCAGATAAATCTGTATATACGCGATATAAGGCTGTATAGAGGCCGTATATAATCATATAATGTTTGATATGGCCAGATATGGCCCAGATATAAGATTTCCATATGGGTAATCAGTTCGTCTCCGTAAAAGTTACAGCGCTTCAAAATCTTTCACGTGACATATTTACCCGGGGCAACTCTCAACGTTATCAGAAAGAATGTTTTGAAATGTTTTGATAGCTATTTGTGAGCAAGCACATTACTAATTTAATAAACACATTAATACTGTTTAGTAGTTATTCATTTAATAGGCATATTTTTTTTCTTATAAAACCGTAACTTAAGAGCTAGCTAAACTTTGTTTCGAAAAAGCAAGACAGAGGCTTGCGATTGTGGTAGCAACTGTTTTATTAAAAAAGGGTGTCGGAAAGACTCAGGGAGGTAAAAAAACAATTAGAAGTGCTATCTCTAAAAACTTCGACAGAGACACTTAAAGGGACACTGACACCCCCCAAATTTTTTTTTTTTACTTTTTTGCCAGGCGCTTCATTATGGTGTCGGAGGACTACCCAATTAATATTTTGCAACAGAATAGCGTATTTTTTTAGTAAAGCCAAAAGACGCAACTGCTCGAAACCGAAACCGAAACCCGACGGAGGTCGGAGAAGTGGAGAGAAGAGAGCGAGTGGCGGAAATCACGTGGCTACACCCGACTGTGTGTTTTTTTGTTTTGTTTTTTTTTTTCTTCCCGGTAGCAGACTACATGCGGCGTACGGGAACTGTTCGCCGTGGGATTTTTTGCAGCTATGTATGTTCCGCTCGTTGTTCTGTACTCCAAGATGAGTTGTTTTGTATATTGAGGAGTTGGAGATGAGTAGTGAGTGCCCGTGGTGAATTTTGATCGGCTCCGAAAAGAACACACCCAAGATGTTGCGTGAAGAGCTGGCTCACATGTCCTGCGTCCGAAACAGAAGTGGCATTGTGCGACAGAGTTTCCGAAAGATCAACGGGATCGGGACCAATGGCTGGCTGCAATTCCTGTAGACCATTTACGGGCACCTCAGAAAGCGGACGCTACCTGATTTATATGCTCCTTGCATTTTGTGGAAAGTGATTACATTGAGTTCGCAGGTGTCAAAAAGGAAATCCCATACCATTTAATTCAGCGACGTGTCGTCCACAACATTTGTTTCTTCTTTTTTTGTGTGTGTTGTTTCTTCAGTGATAATTGTAAAAAAATAAAAGAAATGTAGACATCGAAAAACATATGAAAAAAATAGAAAAAAAGTTTCACGGGGGATCGAATCCGATCCTACGGCGTGTTAAGCGGACGTCTTTCCCACTAAGCTACTGGGGCATATTCAAACTAGGGGATCTCTTTCCTTAGTAATAATTCAGCCGATAAACTGTAAGTTGGAAAGTTTGCTACCGATTTTCCTTTAGCAAAAGCACTCCCGGGTCGAAGTCGTGATGCACCCCGAATTGGCGACATTCTGACCTTGTAAAGAAATCGTACGCGTGCATATTCAACTCGAAGTAGACACGTCGTGCTTGACGTTTGCGCGAGCGATGTCTTCAGCCACGAGAAGGGAGCGACGGCTCGGCGACGTCTTCGTGCAAATCGGCTTGGTGGTCGGGCGTGTCGTACGGGATGAAGACCAATTGTTTTGATCAGTCCCAAATTTCTCTTTTAAATGCAGACAAAATCCACCGGTACCGCGAACGACAGTTCTGAAATAGAGGTCCCACGCCCGTCGTCCGCTGCCATCGCGTCCCTGCGAGTCCCACGACAAGCGAAACGACGCACGCACAGAATGCTTCCGGTTGTCTGTGAAACTTTTTTTTTCAATCAACGTATTCGCAGCTTTTTAGAAGCCACAAAAAATGGGTTTCATATTTTTTTCTATTTTTAATATTGAGTGTGTGCCTTCAGTGACCCACGACTTTGATTAAATTTGGTGGTCGCATCGATACCTTAGAAAACGGCCCGTGACCTCGGAAAAGAGAGTGAGCGAGACTCGAACCGGCCAGTTCTTGATCGGCAGTTTTCGGGCGGAAAGAAACCGAATTTCGTGCCGCAAATTCTGTTCTGGGTAGTTGAGCTCTCATATGTCACGTACAACTGAAAACCTCGGCGAGCATAAATACCCTGTCAGTGTCCCTTTAAGACTGCTTACGTGTAGGAATGCGCAAGAATTCCTACACGCAGAGCATTCCTAGAAGCAGCGCCACGTCTTCCTATCGCACACGGCGCTCTAGTAGTGACATCACGCCACTCCTCCCCCCCCCCCCCCCCCCCCCCCCCCCCCCCCACTGCGCAGGCGCGCGAACCCCACTGGCCCCACGCCTTCCGTGACGATGCATCTGCTTTGCTGAGTTTTCTTTGTGTTTTATTTCTGAGGTGCGTCCGCTTTGACCTTGAGTGCCCCCGTCGTCTCCAGTGACGAAGCATCTGCGTTGAGGTGTTTTTCTTTGTGTATTATTTCTGAACGCGCGTGCTTGAGGACTTGCATTTAGGTACCGTTTCGCTCAGCCAATGGGACTAGGAGCTGTTTTTTGTGGTTACAGACAAGGCCGGCTGCGCTCCGTGGGACAGTTAAGGCAAGGTTAAGGTTCTCGCACTGAACCGATGTCACAGAAATATTTCCGCCACCCAGGTGGCGAAATGGTCACTTGGGTGGGTTCTATAATTCGGATGAGAGAAAACTTACCAGAAAGGCGCCATGTTAATCGCCCATATTGTAAGTCCAGCCGATGTAAAGGACACGTCAACGACCATACATTCCGCGGTTTCTTCATTGTGTCCAATCAAAGATCTCTGCCAAGACCAACTAGAGTGTCTCTGGACTTTTTGAATGAATTACGTTTCTCTTACAGTTTACAGCGTAATGACCGCATAAGCCAAGAAGGCTTGTGCGTGGGACACAGCGGTAGGGGTACAGAAAAAAAAGTAATGTAATGAAAACACATTTGGGATGCTCAACTAAATAGTCAAGCCGAAGAAAAGGCACTATTTTATAGTATGTTTATTCGTAATGACCAAAGCATGACAACCAGTATTACTAAAACCTAGAGATGCAAAATTTTCGCAAATTATGGATAGCCTGAGAAAAAACGTAATGCTTACCGGGCTTCTTTCTTCTTTTTTTTTCTTGAGGGGGGATTTAAAATAAATAAATAGGATACACGTATTGGACAACAAATCATGTCGTAATACACCCGAGACTGCGGTGGAAGAAATCGGAAGAACTTTCAGTAGAAGGAACAGACACAGAGCACGTCTCAAGACGTTCTCTGTGTCTGTTAGACGTTCTCTGTGTCTGTTAGACGTTCTCTGTGTCTGTTCCTTCCACTGAAAGTTCTTCCGATTTCTTCCACCGCAGTCGCAGGTGTATTACGACATGGTTAGCTACCACCAGCTCGCCTGCACTCTCACCGTCTTTTCACTAATTGGACAACAAATCTCTCTTTTTTCTCAACATACACTACAATTGGGCAAATCTACAATTATTATACTAACTGAACAGGCAACTATTGTGTAATACAAATTATTGTAAATTAATATAAGAGAGTATTTTTAAGTGCATAGAATAACGACTTGCATATCTGTGTTCTCGGTGAACAACCCGTTGAGTAGTGGCGTGTGTTCAAGAGTGCAGTCTGTGCATTTCTCGCCAAGAAAAAAATGATGTTTTTATATTTCTCCGTGCTATGAGCGAAGTCGTTTTTACTAGATTTGGTTGTTGAAGAAACAATGCTTTCGCATGCTAAACGTGTACGTCTTGGTAAAATAACATAAAACTAATGAAAAAATGCACCTACATACGCCTTAATATGTAATGCATAAAGGGGGACATCAGGGACATTCTGCGAGGAGCAGACCCTTTTTTACTACTGTTCTCGAAATGAATACAATCATCTAATTCAAGAAAATACGTTTTGCTTTCCTTCAAAACAATAGTTGGTTTAGTTTTCTCATGGTAGATTTATTCCATTTAACATAAACTTTTTTATTTAATTTTATATGTGTATTTTTTATTATATTGACGTTGATATAACCTA